CACATGCACACCTCAAACCGCGTAACGCAGACGACCAATCCAGCGAGAGAACTGGGTCAAGGTCAAGGTCAAGGTCATAGGTCATAGGTCATACCGTCAGCACACCACGTGGTGAGCGCAAAATCGGGGACCGCCGGTGCACGTGCGGTGCATAGGGGTCAAATTCTGACGTTTGATTCTACAACTCAAGGGAGATGAAGCGATGTGCCTGACACTCAAACGTGCTTCCATTTGAGGGCTTTAAATCGCAGAGCAAAACGCGTGCTGCCAGCCCACAGTGTCATAAATCATCTAGTTTGGGATGACACGACCAAGCGCCAAGTCACCCACGATATCAAAGCCAGTTAATTCACGGATAAAAAACTATTATCGGACCGGTAAAGCGACTTTATCGCCGACTGACTTAGACACTTAGAGAAAACGCCGATGATATCACTCCTTCCCAAGCCTGCGACATCGGAGACACCACACTGGCGCCCCTGACGTCATCAGTCACTTACAGCCCACTTCACAAATCGCCGGCCCAAATGAACTTATTCCAGCTGCTTGATTCGATTCGTGTCAATTGACGTTTCCATCCCTAATGCGGAGCGTTAGGAGTAGACATCTTCGCCTGATGTGTCAATCAGCCGACAGCGGAGGCAACGCGAGAATCAACCGGGGTCTGCGACCTGACCTGACACGGACATTTCTATGACATCCTCTCTATGACAAGGTTGTTTTGAAATATATGCACAATTAATGAAGGGAATGCATCTTTCACTAGACCACAGGTGTCGCGCTGCTGCTAACACTTAAGCCCTTCTCCAACAACAGCGCGCCTGCATAATGATTTCCAACCGCACAAAGCACCTGATCAAACGTTCAAATAGCCGAACGGCAAACACTTCGCCAGCAGCGATAACTTCTAGGCGCGGATCAACGATAGCTTCACGATAGGGTTGCCGTGAGAAACGAACGGATGCGGATGAGTTGGACGAGATTGTTCATTTCTATGAGAAGCAGGGCGTTAGAACGAATGGCCCACTTCCCCGACATTAAGTAAACGGAGACTCTTGTGCAAAGGCGGAGAATCACATGACTGTTGTTAAAGTAATAATAAGTTAAATTTTTACAACACTTATACAGCTATATACATATATATATATATATATATATATATATATATATATATATATATATATATATAGTAATAGTAATAGTATAATAGTCAAGCTATATAATAAGTTAATGTTATTAAAAGTATCGCTGCTCACTTGCATGCACATGATGCATGCACAGCACGCACTGATCCTGCATGATCGTGTCGCACTGTGCGCATCACTGGTCCTGTTATTGTGTGCGCGTGCGTCATTGGAGCTTTACGACGCACTCAGTTCCTGAGGCTGTATGGCGTCGCCTGCCTCTCACCCTGGCAGGAAGGGCGGGCACCGCGGGGAATCCAACGTTACTGTGTGCGCGTTTGGTGTGTTTCCTCTTTGTTAATACGAAGACGCTTGGTACCGCCATCAGCAACTTATTCTGAAAGCCCATCTAAAAATCTGTGCGCGTTTTTGGCGATACTCTACCCCCCAGGCAACCTGGTTACGCCCGCGGGGAAAAACACCTTTCCTTACTGCGCTTTGTTAAGCACGAGATCCCAAAAGGTGAAGTGCGTGTGGCACATCACTGACAGCATGTTTGTCATTACACCCACGCACAACGTTACGCTGTACACCCCATCTCTTAAGATGTTCGCGCGGATATGGCCTCATACAAACTCAATTGGGTAAAATCAAAGCCAGTGACGACGGATATCGCGCGAAGATTCGAAGTCAATGCATGAAGGTCGCATGAAGGTCGCGTACGAAGTACAGGACGCACAGTACCCAAGTTAGTGAATCGCAGTAAACATCATCCGTGGGGAGCCCATCGGCATAACTTTTTAAAGATATTTTTAGATAGCTTTATTTAGGCAATCAGAAACACGTACACACAGTCCATACACGACAGAGCAGCATTCCAGCTCACGCACGATATGACCACGCACACACACACACACCTCTCCTCTTGCCTTCTTTCTTTCGTGCGCACGCACGTCTTCATCGCAACTTCGGTGTGCCGAGGTCCAGTCGGGCTCCCGACCGTACGGCCATCCCACGTTCGCGGGACGCAGCGGCGCCCGCTCCAGCAGCGGAACTCCGCGGCCCACGCACCCAGCGGGCCGGCCGAGCAAAGAAGCCGTTCCCCCTCCCCCTTACCCTCTCCCACACGCACCACTTCAACGGCCCGGTCTCACGCACGACGGCACGCGGCCGGCACCACCCCTCCACCCCCGCCCATCTGCTCGCGATGGATTCGGCCTCGCACCGCTACTGGTGACGTCACTGACATGCTGACGTCATCGGGAGCGTGCTGGAGCGCCACGGGCGCGGGGGCACGGCGCAGCCAGCTCACCGGTGGCCCTTACCGGCGCCGGCCCGGAGCAGCCCGAGGAGAGGGGCATGGGGACAAAAAACAGCGGAGTGGAAGTGTGTCGTGTGTCAAGATGACACTTATAAACTGGGGGCCTGGTGCCAGCTCGTCTCAGCTGAAGTTCTTCAACGTCGCCAAGAAAGCTAAATGCCCGTCGGTTTTAGCGCCCACCTTGGCACCTGCCAGCGTTTACCCTACCACTGAAGACTAAATCACTGTAGCACATCGTGACTGGGGCCCGATGATCCAGCGTGAACTAAACACACCTGAAGTGATGCACCTGACCCCACCCGAGCAACCCGACCGGACTGGACCAGACCAGACCAGACCAGACCAGACCGGACCAGGCTACGGACTGACCTGGCGATGACGTAGTAGCCGAGGGCGGCCGCCGAGCTGAGCGTGGCCAGGCCGGCGAAGGTGGCCACAGCCCCGACCAGGGAGAAGGCGGCGCCGGCCACCAGCACGCCTACGCACCGCCCGGCCGTGTACAGGCCGTCCAGCACCCGGAGTGTGGCCCGCTCCTGACCTGGGGTCACCGGGTCAGAGGTCACCGGTCAGCGGCATGATCACTAGAGGGTGGCCCGCTCCTGACCTAGGGTCACCGGGTCACCCGTTACCAGTCAGTATCACTATTACCAGAGCGTGACCCGCTCCTGACCTCGGATCACGGGGTCTGGGGTCACCGGTCAGCAGCACGCTTACTAGAGCGTGACCTGCTACTGACCTAGGGTCAACATGTAAGGGTCACCAGTCAACAGCACGCTTACCAGAGCTTGACCTGCTCCTAACCTGGGGTCACGGGGTCAGGTCAGGGGTGCAGCTCAACTGTCTGGCAGGTTCGCAAATTGCTTCTGACCTTCAGTCAGGCCAGGATCACCGGTCAATATAACAGCAGATAGCAGGGCCAGCTACTGACCAGAGGTCACGGGCTCACGTCAAGGTCACTGAACAAAAGTGCACCACCAGCTGAGCCAAAGTGTATCACCAAGAGCAAAACCTACTCCTGCCCTGCTGCTACATAGCCAAGTTAGGGTCATCACACAACACTCCAGCACCACGAGAGAGTAGACCCCGTAGTCCCCTTCTACAAACACCTCTCCCCACAGGATGACCCCCCCCCCCCTTACCGGCCCACAAGCCCAGCCGAGCCCAGGACCCGACCCTAACCCTCTGGCGGCCGGCCGCCAGTGCGCGCCTTCCACACACCAGCACCAACCGCTCCCCCACCCAGCCGAGGCCGTCATGTCCTACAGGCATCTGTAGGACTGTAGGGGCCATACTACAATATCGAAAGCCAGCTCACCGTGGTGGGCCGTCTTATCGACGAACACGTGGACGGCGCACCACAGCAGGGTCTCGGTCAGCCCCACCAACGGCTGGGCCGGAAGCAGCCCCCAGGCGGCCGGCAGGCCCAGGTAACAGAGACATCTGACGGTCAGCGCTGAGAACGCCAGTACCTGCGGCGGCCGATAGATGATATCACAAGTGCGCGCGGGGACGCGGGTTGTATAAAACCGACGCAACTTCCACAACTGTCCAACCTACCGAAAAAGCGATATTCAGATCTTCCAGGCATATAATCAGACCATACCTAACTCTGCCAAGAACAACAATTACGAACTGTTCAATGTCCCAACGCGCATGCACACATACACGCACACGTGCTCCGAAGCACGATCGGTCCAGCCGACGAGTCCTCACCACGGTGCCGACGAAGCCGAGCCGGATCATCAGCGGCCGGTGCAAGGCGCGCACGGGCAACCGCGACGCTAGCGCCACGGCGGCCGCCAGCACAAGCACAAACGTCGGCTGCGGCCGCCCGGCGGCGGCGTACGGCAGCACGAAGTTGAACTCGGCTGACGTCATCAGGCCGATGCTAAACACGGCGCTGGTGAACAGCACAGAGCTGCGGCACGAGCTGGGGACGGGGTACACAGTGCTGATGAACAGGACAGAGCTGGGGCACGAGCTGGGGACGGGGTGCACAGTGCTGGTGAACAGCACAGAGGTGCGACACGAGCTGGGGACGGGGTGCACGACGCTGGTGAACAGCACAGAGATGCCTTTGGACTGGGACGGAGTGTCTTGAAAGTGGTGATGGGCGGTCGCACACGTTGCAAGGCGGATAGCGACGAATATTTTGCTGGCCCACGCGTGCCGCGTTGCAGCAACAGCACACACGCCAGGGCACGGCTTATCCTTGAGCCCTTAATCGCTGAGAGTAGATGATATTTGTCCTGGCGACAACCACGTAACTCCGAACCGAAGTCATTGTTGAACGTTGGGGAGTATACATGAACGGCTATCACATGCGAATCATCAGTCACTGATCGTCGACCTTCCACGCGGACGTCGATTCCCTCCCAGGCAGAACTGACCGGAGCGAGCGGAGAGCAGCGCCGGGCCGGCGCGGCGCCGTCTTCCCGCCGGCCAGCGGCAGCCAGGGCAGCAGCGCGGCGGCGGCCAGCGCCAGCGCCGCGCCCAGCACCAGCAGCGGCGCCAGCAGGCCGCGGTCGACGGCGCAGTCGGGCAGCGCGGCGGCGGCGGCCGCCAGCAGCAGCGCCGACGTCGCCTCTGCGGCCGGCGCCGGCCGCCCTGCGCGCTCCAGGTGCTCAGCCTCGTCGAGCGACCGCCGCCAGCAGCGCGCCACCAGGCGGCGGTGCGGCGCGCCGACCAACGCCCACACCGACAGCAGGCCCAGGCTGACGAGGAAGAGCAGGTCGGGCGGCAGCAGCGCGCCCGGCGCCTCCGCCGGCTCGCGGCGCTCCCGGGTGGGACTCCCCGCCGCCTGGGACGTGATGACGTCACGGGGCGGGGTTGCGGCGTCCAGCGCGACCGGCTCCGACTTGGGCGCGGCGACGTCAGGCGGCGGCGGAGCCCGGCCGGCGTGCCGGCGCGGCTCGTGTCGCGCCGACCGGGAGCCGTTCCGCGCCGGAGAGGGCAATCTCAGGTTCACGACTCCTCCGCCTCTGGCAGCTGCATCAAGAGCGCGCAGGTGGCTTGCTTCACTCGGGGCAGAGTCCGTACCGTCACGCATACTGCTGCCCGTGGCAATGACGCGCCGTCGTGGTACGTCACGGTTCATCTCCAACGCAGTCACACTCCGCCTGACCCTCCTGCCCCTCCTCCGCCGGCGGTGGGCGGCGGACGCCGCGCGCCTGCGGCCGCGAGCCCGGCGCCGCGCCACGCCCCGCCGCCGCACCGGTGACGCGCGGTGAGCCGGCGGCCCACCAGTCGGCGCCGACAGCAGCCGGTTCAGCGTCGGCGACAGCTTTTCCAGACGCCCGCAGCGCCGCCGACAGGCTCCAGCCGCGCGGCTGGTCAGTCACCGTCGCCTCCTCCGGCACTGGCGCGCTCGCGACGCGCGAGCGATGGCGGGAGACGTGGCCGGAGCTCGGCCTCGAGCCGGGCGCCCGATTGAGGACCGCCTCCTCCTCGAAAGCCGGGATAGCGGTGAGGAAGCGCTCTCGGTCCACCGCCGCCAACGCATCCGGCTGCGGCTCTTCCCTTAGGGACCAGCCGCTCGGGTCCACCAGCCTCAGCCGACCACGTGACCCGACGGCACCCGGCGGGCCGCGCGGCCCGCCCGGACCACGTGGCCGCTGTCGAACCGCCAACGCCGGCTTCCGGCCCCGTGACACGCCCTTCGGCGGCAGCGGCCTCCGGACCGGCGGCCCGCGGAGCGGCGATGACGGCGGGCCGCCCGCGGCTGTGCCGCACACTACCACGCCGCCCGGGTACTTGAGCGGGTCCCAGGGCACCTCGAGCTCCGAGGCGGGCACGCACAGCCGGCCGTCGCCCGCCGCCGGCCGCCCGCCGCCGGGCAGGACCAAGTCCGGCGGCGGCTTTGCGGCGCCGCTGGCGGCCGGCCGGCGGCCGTGCGGGTGGGAGGCACCGCTGCTGGGACGGTGGGGGAGTGGGTGGCCGGGGCGACCCTGCTCCGCCCCGGCCCCCGCGAGCACGGGCTCGACCTGGCCAGGACGGCGATGACTAGACGCTTCCACTTCTTGTCCCTTACCGCGTTGGCGAGAGTTTTGGTTCGCATGACTAGATTGTTGCTGAGTAATACTCGCGTGGCTGAGGCCACCAGCCGCCTGTCGGTGCGGCGGCGTCGCCTGACCGCCCTGCCCACTCACAGCGGGGAGCGCCCCCGCCGCACCCTGCGCCCCCTGGTGAGGCCGGAGGCGGTGGTGAGGCCGCCCACCGCCGGCGGCAGCGGGCCGGGGCCGCGGCGACGCGACGGGCGGCGTGAGCGCACTGGTCGCCTCCTCCGAGCCAGCTGCGGCGCCAGACGCCTGATGAGGAGCCACCGGACGCGCCACGTGGTGGGCGCCGGGCCAGCCCCAGCCGAGGAGCGGGTCTGATGACTCAGCAGTGGCGGCTGACCCGGACGCCTCTTCACTGGAGTGAGGCACATGTTCCACAGCCGTCTGCGATGTGACGACCGCAGGAGGTCCGGCAGCGTCGGTCACGACCTCATGATGCGGCCACGCCCCGCCGACCGCCGCGCCATCTGGAGCCTCGCCCGAAAACTCAGGCGGCCGCAGGTTCGCCTCGGACGAGCCGGCAGCAAGATGACCGCTTGTCGGCGGCGGCTGGGCGCCGGCGGTTTGAGGGCCGCCAGCGGTCGCCTCGAGACCCGAGCCCTCCGGCGATCCGTGGGCGATGTCCGGCCCTGGCAGGCCGGTGACCGCGAATGATTCTCCCCCGACAGAGGTCTGCCCGGAGAGACCGCCGCCGCCGGCCGGCGCCTTGCCCTCGACACCGGCCGTCTCCGTGTTTGGCCTCTGGTCCGGCCTCTGCCCCGGTTTCTGCTCCGGTCTCTGCCCCGGTTTTTGGCCCGGCCTCTCCTTCGGCTTCTGGTTCGGCCGGGGCCGATACGGCAGCCGGTCCGGGGGCCCGGTGGGACCGGCGCCGGCCGATGCGGGACCCGGGTTCCGCGTGCCGCCGACCGGGACCGGCGGTGCGGACCCCACTGGCTCCGCCGTGGAGCTCGGCGCAGACCCCGACCCATCGATGGCTGCAGTGACCACTGGCTGGATGTGATGGGTCATCTCCCCATCACCTGGTCCAACGTGATCAATGTTTCCAGTCGCTGCTGGTCGGCCATGTTCGTTGCTTTCACTCGCCGGTAGACCCCCGTGGTCACTGCTCTCGCTGGTTAGCGGTGGGCCTTGGTCTTTCGCTTCGGTGTGTCCTGGTCGGCTGAGGCTTCCGGTATCACTAGACACCGGTTGTTTATGTTCGCTGGTCTCGCTGTGCACCGGTCGTTCATGTTCGCTGGTCTCGCCGTGCACCGGTCGTTTATGTTCGCTGGTCTCGCTGTGCACCGGTCGTTCATGTTCGCTGGTCTCGCTGTGCACTGGTCGTTTATGTTCGCCACTCTCGCTGGACGCCGGCCGTATTCGCTCGCTTTCTCCCGGTCGCTTGTCCTGACCCGTCTGACCAGGTCGTACCGGCACGACTTCCGCACCACCCCCACTCACCGCCGTCACCCCATGCCGACTTCCGCCTCCCTCCGTCGTCCACTGTCCCAGCTCCTGCACCCCGGTGCCGGCCGGCAGCAGCGGCGGCGACGCGGGGGAGCCGCAGCCGGCGCGCGGCGGCAGCGCCGCCAGCGCGCACAGCACCGCCGCCGTGACCAGCGCGCCGGCGGCGGCCGCCAGGCGGCGGCGGCGCGGCCGCGGCTCGGCGTGCAGCGCGCGCCACCAGAGCGCGCCGCCGACGCCGCGCAGCATCAGCAGCGTGGCGACGGCCAGCCCGGCCTGCAGCGGCGTCACGCCCAGCTGTGTGAGGTGCAGGCAGAGGAAGGGCAGCGCGCAGCTCTCAGCAGCGCCGCTCAGGCAGAGGAAGGCCGTCACCAGACGCTCGGCGCGACGGAAGTGCATGGTGGAGACAGTAGTGATGCTGGTGAGTGGTGATGGTGGTGGTGAGCAGCAGCAGGTACTGGAAGCAAAAACATATCCAGTGACTGGTGAATAGCAACATGGCAGCATAGTATGTCATCTACAGGATGCAGTCACAGGAAATGTGATTTAGGGTGGTAGCCAGGCCACAGCAGTGCAAGCGGAAAGTTTTTGGAGCTTTCTGGGGAATTGGGGAAAAAATGGGAGCCGCTTTTTTGCAGTACTTTCACATTTGTTCATGCCAAAATTTGTTGGCAGTCTGGGAGAGTGGTCTCTATAAAGCACAATACATCTACAGCCCAAGTAAATGATGCCTGGTGTGGTGGTGGAACTGGTGTCCAAATTTAGTATTCCATGACTTAAGCTGATAGAACTTTGCAATCAGAAGTAGTCCTTAGTATAGCTTAAATTTTGTTACATGCCATAAACATTCAAAAAGCTAAGTTTATGCTGTCTTTAAGCATTAATTTTTCTGGGATAAGAGATCTGACTAGTTCTTCATTTCAGCCCCATCTATTTCCCAACTTGCCTCATGAAATTTCATGAGTGGCATTTCATTCCATTGTCTTTTTCAGTAGGGTGTAGTCTTACCACTTATTTTCTGAGTGCTATATACCATTACACAAAATGCAATATTCAGCTATCCAAGCATCTTCACAATGGTGGTCATTCTCACCAGTTACAAAACCAAGGTCAACACCCCAAGAACCATGATCATAAGGCTTGAGAAAAAAATGGAACGACAGGTTTTCCAATGCTATTGGTATGGCAGGAAAGATGCCACAGTGTGTGAATTTCATGCATATCAGTCAGACCTGTTTTCAACATCAAAACGTATTTTGATGAGGAGACAAGGTAAAGCGCACAATACAAACACAGTTTGAGCTAGAGAAGAAAAACAGGAAATCTTTGACATCCTCTTATTATCATGTCTGTCTAGGCCAAACTGCAAAAATTCCGCACTTTCCTAAATCCACCGCTAGAACTTTTCCACATCACAGATGAAACAGCGCACAACATGCGGGTCGGCGACAGTGACGGGCATGCTTGGGAACGCATCACAGTCATTTGTTCACCTACCAACAAAACTCACCAGCCTTGAACCGATAAAACAATCAGCCGGCTCGTCTAGTTCCAGCACGACCCATCCAAACGTCGCGCCCTTTCCAGGCTTCGTAGCACCCGCTCATTCCAGCACATCCATGGAACGACGATCCTTGCGCACCACTGCGCCAGCGACTTGTTTACACTGTATCAGCTGATTTCAGTGGCTCTCAAACAAAGTTAGCAAGGGCGCAAAGTCCAGTGGAACTGTACCACGGCAGTCCGAGAAAGAAAATGTCCCCAAGATTTGACAGAAGCACGCCACCTTACCCTGGCGCACGCCCACAATTGTTCCTTGTTATTCATACGGAAAACGCAAGACCCTATGCAGTCAAACGTGGTGCGTCACATACCATGCATACGAGCTTCTGTTGCCTTGTATGTTACATACTCGGGAAAGT